GCACACGTTCAAGCCCTATCATAGCAAATTCTCTGTTCTTTCCATGGCATCACTCTGATTGCTGCAGAGGACTTGGATTGTTTTAAGAGGTACCTTTGAACAAATTAGACTTGAATAAAGTGGCCAAGTCCGCAGGGTTGTAGGAAAAAAATGAAAAGCGAGCTTCCTCGGAAGCAGCAGCCTAGGGAAAGCCTAGAGGCAGTATTGAGGAAGTAGGACAAAGGCAAGACCAGAGATAGTTGCTCCAAATGTCCCACAAGAAAGCTGTGAGGCCAGAAGGGCCCCTTTAAGTGTTGTAGAAAAGTCTGAGGGTGACAGAGGATGAGGCAGGGCCAGGATCTGGGGGATGGCTGGGTTTGGTCCAGTGGCTCAAGGAAAATATCTTTGAAGTGTTCAGAGAGCAGAGGTAGGGGATCAGGCCACAAGAACTCTGAGGCAAGTCGGGGCCACTTACAATCCTGACCATGTTGGAAAGGAAAAGAGAAGAGCAGAGAGAAGGTTGAGCCTTAAGAGCCTTAAGGGAACAGGAGACAGTTGGTGTGTGCTTCCTTGGGACCAGGGAGGAGACCAGGCTGGACCAGTCTCTAGGGCATTTGTGCTAGTGTACTATTTTGTCCTAGAATGGATGTGCTTCATGGCACAGTTTTGTTTTTTTGTTTTTGTTTTGTTTTTGAGACACTGTCTCACTGTATATGTGAGAACTGACAGGTCTGAACTTACTATGTAGACAGAGATCCGCCTCTCTGAGTTCTGGGGTTAAAGGTGTGAACCATCACGCCTGGCCTGCCATGCCATAAATATTTATGGAGCCTATTCTAACCTGAGCCATTTGCTGACTGTGTGGTAGGAACCGGATGTCTGTTAACACACAGTTCAGACTAACCTTCATCTATTAGGACAAGGTTGCTTTGGCAAATGTGATGACCAGTTAGCATCACTAAGTCATGTATGAGGAACTTGCAGAATGTTTGTGTTCTGTCTACATGACTTACTAAAGCACAAGAACGAAAACCAAACTACAATTCACCTATTCATTAGGATCCTGGGCTGTATGTATCAGATACTCAAGCAATATTAAGCATAAAGGACACTTTATCCCATTACTCTGGTACCCATGGGGTCCCAGGAGTCCACATGTATCCAGGAAGGGCTTAGTACTAGAAATACTTGGCAGCCTAGCAGCTCTGCCCCTGGGTTTCTGCAGGCATCTGCTTCTCCATTTCCACAGCACTCTGACAATCATGAGCTTGATTTTTTTTAGCATGATTTTTTTATCTTCTTTGTTCAAGGGATCAGCCAGATTGAATATATTACGATAGTTTTCCTTCTACAGAAAAACAACACCAAAAAAACATCTCAAAGGGTGTAATCTAATTAAAGAATTTAATGGCTCACATAATGGAAAATTCTAGGCTGACTGGATCCAGGTGGTCAGAGGGCAGTAACAGAAACCACCTCTCCCTTTATCAGGACCATTCCCTACTGGTTCAGTTCTCTTGGGAGCAGAGACTGGACCACTTCAAGCTTCCCTCCTTCACCTGATTATCTGAGTGTGCCAACAAGTCTTAGGATGGGTTCTGCTCAAGCCTCGCTTTATCCACATGTTCACTTCTAATGCATGTGTGTTTCAGATGGAAGGAATGTGCCCAACGGCCAGGCCTGGGACCTGTGCCTAGTCATAGAATTGGGTCCCAGGATAGTACACCCCAAATATAGAGCAGGAACAGCAACTACTATATGTGGTGTCCTGTTTAGGGGAACAGTTCTCAGTAGGAACTCAGTACCTTCCTCATTTTTTAATTCAGTTATCTCATTATTCTTATTTTATATATGGAAAACTGAGACATAAGCCCTCACAGCTAATACAATTCTCAACTTGTAATAATTTGACCTTACATCGCTGTAAAAATGATGTGCATTTAATAGAAACCATACTTTGAGCTTGGCTCTTTTCCCAGGCTGGTGATATATGCAGCAGGAACCTCCCTGGGGATGCTGAACAGGGCAGCAAGCTGCAGCTTCCAGTCAGCCCCATGGTCATGAGGAGAAAAACGGACTGGCTGCAGCATTCTGTGTTCCTAAGCCGTATGATGTTGGGTTCAGGGTAGTCTGTGCATTTTCAATGCCCGGTATTTTTGATTGACAATGGGCTTATCTGAGTGGAACCACTTGGTAAGTAGAGGGGCATCCGTAAGGTGTAGACTGGGGGCTGACGCAGAACTTGGATCCCAGAAGCGGGGGTTCTGACCATCAGCAGGAGAACTGCTCCAGGAAAACAGGAAATAGACGCTGAGCAGGCAACAACAGCAGATGCCCACAGCAATTCTGAAGTCTACATAAAGGCTCGGGTTAGGCTCCCACTTGGTGGGAGGTGAGAGGAGTAAGTAACCAAGTTGTAGCAAGGTGACTGCTGCTCCTGTGATCTCAAACACGGAAGAACTCCAGAAAACAAGAAGGACAAAAGAAGCGTCCTCCTCCATTCTTCTTGGAGATGCTGCATGATGGGGAGTAGTCAGTTTTTGTTCGGCTGATAAAAATAAAACAAGTATTGCAGAGCTAGGGGGATGGTTCCGTGGGTAGGGCTTGAATTTAGATCCCCAGGACCACTAAGGCCACGTGTCTGTAATCCCAGTGTTCCTACAGTGACACAGAGAAGCCAGGAGGGCTCCCAGAAGCTTGCAGGCCAGCTAACATGGCACCTGCTGCTGCAGACAGTGCCATCCTGTCCCAGACGAGGAAAGTGAAGACTATACACACAAAGTTGCTTTCCTTCCACAAAGGTGCCGTGGCACACATGCCATGTGTACACACACACACACACACACACACACACACACACACACACACACAGAGCTACTGCAGCATGGAGGTATCTTTCCACTTACCTATCTCTGAAGGTTTAATAATCGTGTCTTTGAGTGCACTGACTGCAGACATACTGAGAAGAAAAGGCAATTCTATTATATGCAGGGTGAACCAGAGGAAAGGAAAGTAAATACCTTTAAACCTCTGAGATCTGGAAACTTAGAGGACCCTGGACTACAGAAAGCAACAGGAGAAGAAGGAAACTCCAGAGAAAGCTCCTAGTAACCTCAGTAGAAAATAGCATCCCCAGCCTTTCCACTTCAGGGTGGCATTCCCTGAACTCCTTCACTCTCAACTAATGGCCTCTGCCCTATTTGAATGCTAGCCTACCCTCAGTGTGCAGGAAGGTGGCCACCCATCATCCTGTGCAGGTGCACAGGGAGGCTGCCCATCTGGAGGAGGCACCAAGCAAGTTCCCTGTCTGGTTCTAATGTCCCACGGAGACCACGGACATGAGCCCAAGCCATCTTTCTAGAAGGAAAAAAAGCACAATTCTGTGGATCATTATATTTATTTATTTATTTATTTATTTGTTTGTTTTTTTGGTTTTTCGAGACAGGGTTTCTCTGTGTAGCTTTGCGCCTTTCCTGGAACTCACTTGGTAGTCCAGGCTGGCCTCGAACTCACAGAGATCCGCCTGGCTCTGCCTCCCGAGTGCTGGGATTAAAGGCGTGCGCCACCACCGCCCGGCGGATCATTATATTTAAATGCACTTTAGGATCATCCCCAGACAACACAAAGAGTAGACCCTTTTGCATATCCCCAACAAGACTGAAAGTAAGGCCCCCAGTATGGTGGCTCACACATATGATACCAGCATTCAGCAAGCTGAGGCAGGAGGGTTGTCATGAGTTCCAGAAAAGGCCAGGCTATAGAGGGAGAGCCTGCCTGAAACAAAACTAAACAATCATGTATTTGGCATTTTCTTTGGGCTGACAACCAAAGACAACCAGTAAAGACATGGGGACTTATTGTGAATGCTGGGCCTTGGCATAAGCTTATACCACTGGCTCTTTCAACTTAATTTAACCTGTTTCTATGTATTCATCTACATTTTGCCTCCGGGCTGTTTACCTTCCTTTTTCATTCGTATATCCTACTTTCTTGTTTCCCCTGTGTCTGTCTGGCTGCCCCCTGGTGTCTCCCTGGCCTCTCTTTTTCTCCCCGCCCCCAGCTTAAGTTCCTCCTCCTCCTTACTCTCCCTATCTATACTTCCTCCCTCACTATTGGCCGGTCAGCTCTATATTAGACCAATCAGGTGCCTTAGGCAGGCAAGGTAAAACAGCAACACATCTTTACATAGTTACACAAATAATGCGCAACACAACCCAAACCCAATCAAACGAGGCTGTCAGTGAAGTGTCTTCTCGGTTCTTAGAACTGCAGTTTAATTAATGAGTCCTTCTCTGATGCTGACATTGAGAGTCAAGTGGACAACCAGGAAGTTCTTATATGCCTGGAGAGTCTCTAAAAGAATGCCTACCTTGCCAAACAGCTCAACACCCACACTCAAACATTTACCTCATTTAAACTTCTTTACTACGCCATTTTTTATTGTGTATGACTTTTTTGACTGTACATATATATGTGCACCATATGCGTGCTTGGTGCCTGCAGGGGTCAGAAGAGGGTACTGGGCCCCTGGGTGTTTGTGAGCCATTATGTGGGTGCTGAGTACTGAATCTGTGTCCTCTGCAAGAGCAACAGGTGCTCTCAAAGCTCTAAGTCGTCACTCCAGGCCCCTGTACCTCACTTTTGAAGTCTTCTAGCTTGCTCACACCCCTGTTCTGCTGCCCCTAAGTCATGCCGCAACATCCCCAGATGGCCATAATTCCAGCAAAGGTTTCTATCACTTCTGCTTCAGTTCTGCTCCAACTGGGGACTTTGTGCTAAAGAGCTCCTGAGTGTAAGACCCAAGTCCTTTAAGTATTCACTGAATAAATCGGAGTGATTAACATTTCTCCTAGCGGAAAAACAGTGAGATTTTAAAAATAAGGAAAGGAAAAGGGGAAGCTGAGAGGCTGAGACAACACAGACCCATGGAGCAAGTAAGGAGAAGACGTATTAGGAGAAAAATGGAGAGGAAAAAAATGACCCAGACAGAAAACTCAGCAACTTGAGGAAAGGGATCTTACTGGCTTACTGGTTTCCACAGTTTGCTCCAAGTCACCTGAGGTCTGGCACGCCGCCTGCCGGCTGGGCGAGGCTAGGCACCCGGAGACCCTCGGGTGGCGGGGTCGGGGACCGGGGTTTGCAGCGGAAGCTGTAGGGCAGAACCTAGAAAGGTGGCCGCGTCGGCCGGCTGGGTGTCGGCGGAGCGAGGCGAGCGCCCGAGCCGGCTGCACGAGGTCCGGCTCCAAACCCGGCCGGGGCGCCGCACGGCCACCCCACCCCACCCCACCCGCGCCCTAGTGAAGGGATGCCCGGCGTGACTTTCCCACTTCACGGCCACAAAACCGACAGTGACTTCGCTTCGTACCCTACTTGGCCACGCGTCCCCGGGAACCAACTTCACCACGACCTGTCCACTTTGAAAAACAAGACCCGCCCAAGAGCGCAGCCGGTGCAGAGCACCCCACGCCCCTGCGCACTCGCCCTCCCTCCCTGGCGCCCCCAAAACCGTGGGGCCCTACGAAAAGAGGAACGAAAGAACCGGGGTCAACCCAGTGCAGCGCCATTAAAGTGACGGACCGGAAGCCCGAGCCTACCTTCCCGGAAGCCGCTCCCGCCCGCCTCCTGTCCATCGGCCCTTTTAAGGCGGAGCTTTGCACGCGAGGGAAGGCTAGTGCGCTTGCGCGGCTCGGGGAAACCTCCGGGACGAGTATCAGCCTTGAGTCGCCGCAGGGTGGCTTGCGAGCTCCGTCTCCTGCCTCCCGCCAAGGTCCCGAAGGTCCCAGAGGGCGGGGTGGATCGCCCTGCCGAGTCCTCTTTCCACCCGCGGCGGGTTCTCGGGACCCTGTCGTGGGCGTGAGGACGGCGCATCCGTGGTCCAGAGGTGGCGGGCGGGGCCGGGGTGGGGGATCCTGCAGATGTGCATCTTTGCTCAGCGCGGATTTCCGCCAGTGTGGTCGACTCCAGCCTTCAGAGTGACTGTCCACCGCCATAGCGAGCCAGCGAGGATCAAAAGTCAGGGCGGACCCTTAAGATTCAGCCTAAATATCCATTCGGCTCCATTGTCCCAGCTAGACGTGGGGATGTAGGCGGGAAGACCAAGAAAACAGCAAAAATATGGAAGTCGGGAAGTGTTGTTCTGTCGTGTCGGGACAGTTCAGATGCCCAGGCCTGTCACTGGCACTTCTTGCACCTTTATGGAGCTCCAAACCCATGCAGAGTAGCAGGAGCCTGTAGGGCGTCCCTCACGGAGTTGGCGTTGGCGAGGTCTGGGTGTTTTCCCCCAGAGGTATCAGTTGACAGGAACTCAAAGCCAAATTTCATTCCCCCGTAAGACTCAGGAAAAGTTGTCGAAGAAATTGGATGTACTTCAACCTGTTTCTTACTTTGAATTTGTAGAATAGCTTCAATAGCTTTTTTTTTTTTTTTTTTTTTTGGTTTTTCGAGACAGGGTTTCTCTGTGTAGCTTTGCGCCTTTCCTGAATCTCGCTCTGTAGAGCAGGCTGGCCTCGAACTCACAGAGATCCGCCTGCCTCTGCCTCCCGAGTGCTGGGATTAAAGGCGTGCGCCACCACCGCCCGGCTTCAATAGCTTTTTAAAGTCACTTAAGATACAACGTCACTCAGGATTCTTTTTGCATGACAGGTCTCAGCAAGTTGCGGAGTTAGACTCAGGAGAAATGGCCCTGGTGCCCTATGAGGAGAGCGCGGCCATAGGACTCCAGAAATTCCACAAGCCTCTTGCCACTTTCTCTTTTGCAAACCACACCATCCAGATCCGTCAGGACTGGAGGCAACTGGGAGTCGCAGCAGTGGTTTGGGATGCGGTAAGTCAGCTCTGGAGGGCCTCTGGAAATGTCCACCATCATAAGACTAGACTATATTTTAAAAAGAAAATTGATTGCTTTATTGAGATTGAATTCATATATGCTCTCTGCCAATGTAAAGTATGCAAAAATCACTGGGTTGTTCAGTATATTCATGGCAGTGCACCCATTACTACCCCAGTTTACAAGCTTTTCATCATCCCTGTGTCCTCTTACACACATCGAATTTTGAAAGCTGAGGGAAGTGAAATGACAGACCAGTGATTGCCCAGTGAATATCAGAAAACTGACAGGAAAGCAGGAGCCTCTTTGCCCTGGTCACTCATTAAGTTAGTTTCTGAAATACCACACAAAGAATGTGTGGAGACAGAGCCCAACAACATCATGCTTTAAGTTTTCCATAGTTCAAAGAGATTCTTGCTTTTCTGCTTCTGATAGTTCTGTCTTTGGCTGCTAAATAAATGATCGGCATGAAGACACTTCCATTATACGCCTAGTATATAGTTGTGAGGGGAAAAAGAGTAAAAAGTATGGGATTGTAAGCAAATGCTCACTGAACATGTGGAATTCTAAAACTTTTGGTGGAAACCTGCCTTCTGATGCCCAGAACGTGACCAGGGTCTCTGTTGGGCAGTGACCCAGCAGCAGGGCCCAGAGAGCCGTGGGTGTTGTAATGCTTCTTTTAGTTTGGCTCAGAAACCCGATATTGCCTTGAAGAAAAGCAAAGATCATTCAAGTCATTTCTTCCAGAATGGTTTTTTAACCTCACGAAATGTGCTGTGACACATAAAGCATTAAGCTTTTTAGATGTAGAGCTGTTCACTGGTTAGCATGTACTCTACATAAGGAGTGCTGGGCACACTGTGCCTGTGTCTGCTCTAATAGGTTACCTTATAGCAGCAGGTAAGGTCCTGTTCTTGAGGAATTATACTTTGCAGGCAGGGAGGGAAAGGAGAGAGAAGAGAGGAGGGGAGGGGAGAGAGAGGGAGGGAGAGAGAGAGAATGAATATGAATATGGATATGTTTGGTCATTGTTCTTCCTCACAGCATTTGGCATCTTGAAGCCATAACAGCTCTTTGTGACTGGCTGACCTTGATCGTAATCACATTGTGTTTTTGACTCAGGCCATTGTTCTTTCCACGTATCTGGAGATGGGTGCCGTGGAGCTCAGAGGCTGCTCTGCTGTGGAGCTGGGTGCTGGCACAGGGCTGGTGGGCATCGTGGCCGCCCTGCTGGGTGAGTGCAATGGGCTAGCTCACAGCAATTTCTTCTCCTTCTGTCATCCTCTTATTCATCCTTCTCCTGAGAGGCCACCGGGTTCTCTGATTGTATGCTGCAAACAGTAGAACTGGACAACAACCCTGTGCACAGTTTCTTTGGCTTAAAGTGCTAAGTCCATGGACTGCTAGACCCAATCCTGTGAGGTAAGGGAACAATCGTTGTCCTTCATTGTTGAGAAAGTAGCTGGTTTTTCCCTCCTAGGGAGGATGGGCCCCTCAAGTGTACACTGACATCTCTTTTTAAGAAATTATATTCATGGTCTGTAATTCTTAGTTGATACCAACCTATCTATCACTCTTCATCTGATACGGGACCGCTGGCCAGGCTGGCCTTGAATTTGTAAGCCTCCAAAGTAGCTGGGTTTACAGGCATGTTGCGCCACTGTGCTTGGCTGCTTAGAACATTATTTATTTATTTATTTTTTGGCTAGAACATTTTAAAGTTTCATTTTTTTTAAACTCGCTGTTGACTTCTTTCTACAACTTCTGACTCATTGTTCAAGTTAACCAGTGATAAAGACACACTAACTTCTAGGGTTTCATCTGTCGTATCAGCCACCTAAGTATTATCACCTGGGGCTCTTCTTACAGGGTGGTTTGTGGTTCATGGCTTGGGAGGGGGATTCAAGAGTTTGCATTTGTAAAAAGCTCCCAGGCTAATAATCCCAACGCTACTGGTTCTTGGGGGAAACTGACCTGGGGGAGGGGGGGGGGTCATCTGGAGTTGCAGAACATTGAATTATTTGTACTCTACGGATATTTTAGGCCTAAGCTAAGCCCCTCTTGTCCCAGCCTTTTCTCTGATGACTTATTATTTTTCAGTATTCTCTTTTCTGTTTCCGGTCTACAAGTCTGTATTGTTTTCTTCAGTCTTGATTGGAGAGCAGTGGCGGGGCTAGTGGGTAAAAGTACCCATAGAGGCTAGGAACGGCTCAGAAGTTAAGAACACTGGCTGCTCTTCCAGAGGACCTGGGTTGGATTCCAAGTGCCCCCGTGGCTGTCCACAGAAGCCTATGACCTCAGTGCCAGGGGGTCCAGCACCCTCTTCTGGTTCTGTAGAAACTGTGCACGTGGTACACAGACATCCATGCAGGCAGAACTCCCATACACATAACATAAAAACCAAGGTTAAAAAAATTTTAAGGTACACATTAATTGATTGTTCTGTCTGTCTAGAAGCAAAACCATAATGATGTTTTTATTTTGGCTTAGTGGCTGCACATGAATCTATTGATGTTTTAATTGTTGTCTGTGGCCCCACAGCCCAGGGCTTCCCACCCACAACACCATTAAGTCATTGATGAGACTCTTGTTGGCCCCATGTCTTTTATTGTCCTTAGATGATCCTTATGACATTGCCATGTATGTTATACATTACTTTTAATTTTTATTTTCAACTGAAACTGGTATTTTGAGACATTCAGCCACATATTTTGAGACATTCAGCCACGTTCAGTGTCCTTATCAGCAGAGATCTGAGACTCAAAAGCAATCTTGTCAGGCACAGGAGCTCACATTAAGGTTCTTTGTCTGTTACCCCGAGCCCCACCCCACCCTCCTTTTTCTACTGTAAACACAGGCAAAATTTTGTTGGCTGGTGAAGAGACGTGTTAGCGCATACATATATGGTTGTAGTTGGAATTAATTTTGATTCCTTGATTGTTCCAGCTGTTTGGTCTTGGGCACGATGCTTAACCTCTATCAGTGACTTCTCTGTCTGTAAAATGGGGATAGTGACAGTACTGGTTCCACAGTGAGGCTCAGGATGGGCTAGTCACCATCCATCCATATTAGCTAGAGTAGCTCATTAGCCGACAGAGGGTGTACTGTGGGGTGTGCACGTGCGCGTGCTGCTATTCTTGGGGCTTCTTTTTCTAATGAGAAATCTAGATGGAGGGGGGTGAAGAAGTGAGGATAAAGTTCTTCAAACACTATTTCGGAATGAAGTGAAACCATCACTCATTCTGTGTCCTTGACCCTTGAACAGTACCAGCCACTCAGATACTGGGATGCTTGTATAGTTTGGGAATAAGTCATGAAGGAACTGGGGGCTAGAGAGGTGGCTAGGCAGAGAAGAGCATGTTGTGATGACCTGCCTCTTGCACGGGACCTGAGTTTGGTTCCCAACACCCACTTCAGGTTCACAACTTGCCGGGAGCCATTCCCCAGCGGTGGATGGGTCCTACAGAGGGTGTAAGGGTGTAAGGAGTCGTTGGGAGAAGGAAGTGAGCCAGGCCATGGTGGTCGGGAGAATCTTGCAGCCTGACTAGCAGCCAGAGTGTTTATTTATACAGAATTTAGTTAGCAGGGATACATTCATGATGTTCCAAAACATAGATCATATCATTTTTGTTTTTGGACATGTGTTTCACTTCCTTTTGTTCATCTTTTAG